GTGGGGACTTAGGGACAAAGTTACCTTATGCTGTTAATATGCACAGCTTCTTGTGACGTGTCTTGCTCTGCTGAGATGCAGTCCCTTTCTGCTACCTTCCTCGAAAGCACAAGGTCCCGAGTTCAATCCCCGGTAGAGGTTAAAAAAAAAAAAAAAAGGTTGTAAAAGTCAGGTATCACAAGCTTAGTGGGGACTTAGGGACAAAGTTACCTTATGCTGTTAATATGCACAGCTTCTTGTGACGTGTCTTGCTCTGCTGAGATGCAGTCCCTTTCTGCTACTGCTCCAGATGCCCTGACAGGGCTGGGGTTATGAGCAGGGCTCAGACTAGCAGCTGGTCCAGGCCTGGTAAGGAAGTGGCTAGAGCTCAGAGACTTTTCCTTGTTTTCTAGTTATTTCTGAAAAGGTTGTATTTGTATCCATTAATATCTGAGGGTGCAGAAGGAAGACATAAGTGGCCACAGGGAAACAGTGTCAGAACAGGCTGATGAGTACCTGTAGGCTGCCCAGCTTTTGCCTCAGCAGAATGAGTAACCCATGGTGAGGTACATTTGCAGGGTGTGGCCAGAGTCCTTCTGGAGTCTAGGCTCCGTTTCAGGCCAGGAGACACCCTATGGCACGAGTATCAGGGCCTATAGAGTTCCATGTAGGGTAGTGTGTTACCAATGAATAGGGTACCAGCTTAGAGAGGGAAAGAGCATGTGATGGCCAGAGCTGGGCAGCCTGGGTATTCTGTCAAGCTGGGGTCATCCAGGTCCCCACGATTTCTGTGTGTGGGGTTGTCCAGAGTCTGGTCACTAGGGGGGCCAGTTGTTCTCACACACACGCAGCGGGGCTCTTTGGACCCAGGCTTATACAGCTTCCTGGGGACGCCAATCCAGTCTCTGCTCACACCTCCACTGAGAACAGAAAGAGAGGACTTCTTAAAAGCATTAATTCATGATTCTCTCTGGGGAAGAAAGAGGTAGCAAGCCAAACCTATGAAAAGGAGAAGCCATGCCACTTCCTGTCTTGGTGTTGTCTCAGACGGGCAGCATCCAGCCTAAAACTTACGCTCTCTCCTGACTTCCTCTAGCTTTCCCACACAGCACCAATGTTACTGTTCACAGGCTGATGGTAGAGTCAAGGTCTCTTTCATTGTGCTCCCCAGCCCTGCTCCCTCAATTAAGGCAAGGGAAATGGGTGAGGATACAGAGAAGCTGGGCCTCCAGAAAGCTCGTGGCTTCGCTTGTATGCTCTTGTCCACACAATGAATCAGCTTCCCTGTAGAACAGAGTGGGGTGTGGCCCTGCTACCCTTCGCAGTGGCAGACATCCCTATTTCCCCCTCAGTGAGACCTGGACTCTTACTTTGAGGACCGCTGTGATGGTCAGTTGACATGTCAACTTGACTTGAGTAAGAACCAACTCAGTGAAGCAAGCCCTGGGTGTGCCTGCAGATGATCAACATGTAGGCTGCAAACTGGGGAAAAGCCACATCTGGAGGGGCATCAATCAACAGGCTTGCAGCTGGGATGGAATAAAAAGGGAAAGAAGACCGTCTGCCCTCTGCTTCTTTGGAGAAGCTCCGGTTTTTGAAATTGCCTTTGGATGTTTGTCTCCAGTTCCTTCAGCCTTCCAGTGCAGACCCTTCAGCTTTCCAACACTGACACATAACAGGACTGCAGTGAGCTCTACGCTTTCTACCTTCCACTGGCTTTTCAGGCTCTTCAGCAATCAGGTGACCCGACCATTCTGCACTGTCTCACTCCTGATTCCACAAGCAGCCATTATAAGCCTACCTAGTAAATCCTTTATACAATCATATATTTTTATATTAAATCCGTTTCTCTAGTGAATCCTAATATATTTCACCTCTCCTTTTTTTCCCTAATACTAGAAATTGAGCCCAGGCCTCGCACAGGCTAGGCAAGTACTCTAACTTTGAGGCTAGGAGGTTTGTCCAATTTCTAGTTTCTTTTGCCCCCTTAAGAGCTAAAGATTTCAGAGGCTCCAGTTGAAGTTTTAAGTCAGGCTGGCCTGATAATTAAAGCAGGAAAAAAAATCTATTTCTTCAGCTTCCCAAATCAATCTGAAATAATCCCTGTGGGATCATTTCTAGTCTAGCTTACTTCACTTTGTTCTTACATGAAAAGACTTTTCCATCTAGCCTGCACTTCCTGGAATGTCAGAATGTGCAGTGCTTTTAAAACAGCACCTGCAGGCCTCGTGCCATGGGCCCACCTCCCCATCCCTCTCCTCTGCAGGCAGGAAGGATTTGTGCTGAGAGAGACAGGAAACCCTGGCTCAGGGATAGCTGCACAGGCTGAAGCAAACAGGAGATAGTACTTGTGCTTTCTCTTTCCCAGACTAGGAATCTTCCTTCAGCAGCATAGACTGGGAGAGGGGAATGCCCAGGTCTCAAGACAAGTTTCAACCCTAGTGTTTTCATTTAGTTGTCTGGAGAGAGGTGACACCCTCAGTAATTTTTAAATTCCCCTAGATCTAACATGAAGCCAAAGGTGAGAGTCATTATCACAGCGCAAAGATATTGTGAAAAACTTAGTAATTCATGGATTTCCTGAACAATGTAGACAGGATGGCCTGAAAGTTTTGATTTGGGAGACAGGTGAAAGGCAGCAGAAGGGAAGCCTTCTTACCTCTTCTGGGAACACCAGAACCGGGTGCCCTTGGTGGCACTCCACTCAGCATTGCATGGTGGGAACTTCTGCTTCTCTTGCTGGGCCTGTTTATTAGCCTCCAAGCCTTTGGCCATCATGGCTTCTACCTGGATCAGCTCTGGGGTGGGCAGCCCGTCCTCTCTGTAGAACCTTCCTATCACCCTTCCTGTGGGGACAGAAGGCTGAGGTCAGAGTAACAGTGGGACTGATGTATGAAGAGATGCCGAGCTCTGTGAGCAGCTGGAGTCAGGCTCAAATTCCCATGGGTTTGGCCTTCAGGGGTCTCCAAACAGCCTGCTGTGTGTTCCCTTACTAAGAACTTATATTAGGGGGTCATTTTTCAGGTGTGTGAAGCTGGGGATGGAACTTAAGGCCTGGCACATGCTAGTCAAGCACTTGAGCACTGAGCTACACCCCAGCCCTAGGGGGACTTCAGTGCCTTCTAGCCCAGCCACTCAGCACCTTAAATGACTCCAGCAAAAAGCTTCCCCATGGGTCCTCTGTACAGAAATGATCAGATCTTCACTTCCAGTCACTGTTTCTCTGAGGGTGGAGCCATGTGTGTGATTCATCTTACTGATGCTCTGCAGTGCTTGGACATACATGAATAAATGATGAAGGAATGGCTTATTGGTTCATATATTTTTATGGCTTATTTCTTCCCAATGTCAAATTGTTTTGCCTTATGTAAGTCTAAATAAGTCATTCCTTGAGCTCTTACTCAATTTCGGGCACTATGCTAGCACTTTACCAACATTTTTAATCCTCACAGCAGACCTATGAGAAATAATTGTTCTCATATTTGTAAGAGAGAAACCGGGAGACTGAGTAACTGGGGAAGTCAATGAAGTTGGTAAGTGGTCTGACTCTGTTACGGTTTAGATCTAGAATGTCCCCCCAAAATCGCATGTGTGGGGCTTTGGGAGAGTGGCTGGATCTTGGGGGCGTTGTACTCACTAGCGGATTCATCTACTGGTGAGTTCACTGGTGTGCTGTTGTGAGGTGGGACCTGGCTGGAAGAGGCAGGTCACTGGGTGGTGACCTGGAAGGGTACACATGTATGTTGCACCACCACCACCCCCGGCCACCTTTCTGGCCACCATGATGTGAGCAGCCTTCCTCTGCCAGCCCCTTCCACCATGCCTTTCTACCTTGGAGCCAGCTGACCATAAAATGAAAACGTGAGCTAAAAAAACCAAACCTCTCCTTTAAGCTGTAGGTGTGGAATATTTTGTATTTTCTGGCCCAGTCATTCAGTTTCACACACATTAAGTGGAAACTTGTTCTCATTTAAAATGCCTGTCAAAATTTCTTAGTCGAAGCTATGGAGGCAGCGACCAAGTGGTCCACAGCCCTAGGCCAGCACCAGTCAAGGATCAGTTTTCCTGGGTGCAGGGACCTAACATGTCCAAGCCCTGAGGGCCCAATGGCCTCACAGGAAGCACCAGTCACAGGGCAAGGGAAGCAACAGAAAGCCCTTCTGGGAGGCTGGATTAAGTAGGAGGTAATGTGTACATTTGCCCCCAACCATGTGGGTCCAACTTGAGACTGGCAGAACTGACTGGGATTCCAGTGGCACGTTTTAGCAAGTCCATGAATCCATTCAAGCCCCTTCCCTGACTTCCCCAAATCTGTCACGTCTGTCCTGTGTTATCTGGATGAACCTTGGATCTCTGACTTCTCCTTCACATCCAAATATATACCTTCCATGATTCATGTCTACCCATTAGGAAACCTTGTCCTGTCTCTAAACTATATCCCAATTCTGTCTACTCTTCCATTTCCACTGTTACCATCCTAATCCTAACCAGGCTATATGAAATAAGCCTCCCAACCAGTCTGTTTCTGGTTAGCCCTTCCTATAGATTTCTCTCCACAAAGCAGCTGAGTGCTCTTTTAAAACATGAGTCATATGTCATTTCCATTCGTGACCAAAACCCTCCAATAGCTTCTTAAAGCACATGGATGAAATATAAACTTTTAAAAATTTTTGTTGTTTTTTTGAGTCAGGGTCTCATTAAATAGTCCAGGCAGAGCTTGAACTCACTGTGTAGCCAGGCTGGCCTCAAACTCTGGGGGATCCTTTGGTCAAGTGCTGGGATTACAGGCGCATGCCACCAGCCTGGATTTTGTTGTTGTTGTTCTGCTTTTTGAGACAAAATATAAACTTATCTGGGCCTCCGAGGCCCTATAACCATTTGACTTGTGGTACTGAGGCCTGAACCCAGGACATGTTAGACAACTACTCTACCTCTACCACTGAACTACATCCCTAGCCCCCCCCCCCTTTTTTGATACTGGGGGTCGAACTCGGGTCCTTGTGCTTGTGAGGGAGGTGGTGGAACGACAGCTAAATCCCTGGCCCCTAGCCCTTTTTTATTTTGAGACGTCTCACTAAGTTGCTTAGGCTGGCTCTTCAAACTTGCCATCCTCCTGTCTCAGCCTCCTCCTGCCTCAGCTGAGGTTACAGGCATGGGCCATGGTGCCTGGCTCATTTGACTTCTGTTTGGTTCTTCCTAAGCTACTTCCTCTCCCATTTACAGTCAGCTCCAGCACATTTGTTTCTTCTCTATTCCTTGACCATGTTTCACGGCTCCACACCTTAGGCACTACTCCTCTCTGAGCCTGGAATTCTCTTCCCAAGTCACATCACAGACTGATTTGGAGCCCTATCTGGAGTTGTTTGCTGTGCTTACTTGTTTATAATACGACTCTTTCAACCAGGCCAGCTCAGAACTCAAACACCTTCTATATAGCATTCATTCAACTTGTTGGATGAATGAATGGTCCCAGGCCCTTAGTTGTTGGGTGGCACAGAACTTTCAGTTACCCAGGGGCTCCATATTATATAGTGACAAGTCTGTCTTGATGAGTTTAGACATGAGACTGGCCAAAGGACAGGAGAAGAGGGGGGAGGGGCGAAGGCAGAGAGAGAACACAAAAAGCGGGGG